AGGCAAACAAACTAAATCAACAACAAATTCTATGTCGAAGATCGACAACGGACACTTAAAACACACAAAAGAAGTAGTCATTGATCCCTTAGTTGGAGTGTCGATGACCATATCTCCATTCACAGAAGACAACATAAGACTCAATCTTTCAACACAATCAGCAGCAATAAAGCAATGAGTAGCACCAGTATCAATAATAGTAATTAAAGGAGTACTATTAATGAAACATGTACCTCTGATGAGTCTGTCCTCATTAACCGTCTGATTCTCAGCCAATGCGAACACCTTTCCACTGGTTTGCGCCTTCTTTGGTTTCTGACACTAACTACCAATGTGTCATTCTTCACCATAATTGAAACAAATCATCTCTTTATGCTTGCACTCAGATATAGCATATTCAGTCTTACCACAACAGAAACACCTTTTCATCTCAACAGTACACACATTGCTCTTATGTCCAAGTTTTCCATATTTAAAACAAATCACACTAGCAGGAGCATCTCCCCCACTAGTTCTCTGACCCTGAGCAACTTTTTGTTTACCTTTACCAACTGGGCCATCGTAAGGATTACCACGGTTTTGTTGGTGTTTACCCCACTTCTCATTGATAATCTTATAGTGAGCATTATTATCCTCTTCATAAATCCTACAACTATCAATTAAATTGGCAAAGACACGAATCTTCTGGTATCCAACTGTCTTCTTGATCTCTGAATGCAACTCATTCTCAAACTTAATACACTTTGAAAATACAGCATTTGCCTCGCTATAGTGCAGGTAAAACTTAGCCAACTCAGCGAACTTTGCAGCATACTCAACAACTGACATACTCCCTTGCTTCAGCTCAAGAAACTCAATTTCCTTCTTACCACGAACATCTTCAGAGAAATACTTCCTCAAAAACTCCCTACGAAACACCGCCCAAGTGACATTTTCACCTGCAGCTTTCAACTTCTGACACGTCTCTAGTCACCAGTCATCATCCTCGACTGCTAGCATACGAGTACCATAACGAACCTTCTGCGTTGGAGTGCAGTCCATCACACGGAAGATTCTCTCAATCCCTCTGAAAGATCGCCAAATTAAAAGATCCAGCATTCCCGCCAACGTTTGGCTGATTCTCCATAGCATGCGGCATTGCATCTAGAGCAGCAGCAAGTGCAGCATCATTCCTTCCAGCCATCTCAACTTATCACTACAACACAAACAACGCTTAGAACTCAAGTTAATAATACTCGATTGTTAGACAAACTACGACTCAAAAACTTGGTTGAACGAATCGACTTGCTCTGATACCAACTTGTAACACCCCAATTCTATCCGACAATTATTATAAAGATCAGAATTACAAAATTCTGACAACTGAATCAGGATGCTACAATTTCAACTTAAAACAATGACATTCATTACAGATACACAACACGTTAAACTATGAACCAACAAAAACATAAATTAATCTTTTAAAACCAACAACTTTAATAACTACGCAGCAGAATCATAATATCAAACTTAAAAGAATATAACATCTTTATCCAACTGAAAACAACATCAAAACAACAAGTACTTAACGAAATCAATTTAAAATTCAACAACAGAAGTAAAATCAACAATAAAGCAATAAGCATTCATCCCCCCGAGTGTTACGTATCAGAGCAATGACACCGACTCGAACTACTGAAGGTAAACCGCCTTCACTCTGAATTCCTGCATGTTATCAACATCGGGGTAACATTCAAACAGAAGGGGTGACATATTTAATAATATAATTGAAGTATGATAAACATTATATTAGAATCAATTCATGCAAAATCACCGCTTCACAACTTATAAACAACAGCAATCACAACAAAATATTAACAAAATATAACGATTAATTCATCAATACAACAACTCAAATATACAACGTGAAATACAACTTATTACTATGCAAATGCATGTGGTACCAACGGAGAAGAACTCTCAACTTAATAAGACAATTAATAAAGGCAGCAACAAGGCATAAGCCTTCAACTTAATATATTATTAATCCAGGCCAACTTAACGAGCATCAGCTACAACATAATATGCCATATATGCGACAACATGATTAAAACAACAACGACAGCAAACAACAATTCAACATAAATCTGCGTTGGCCATAAGCCTATCACATCAACAAAAATAATTCAACTTAATTCAACATTGACCACAAGCCTATAATTTAGTCTCAGCCAATAGAGACAACACCGCTTAATTACTCACCTGTAACTTTAACAATTAATAACAATAACATCACAGCAACTATATATATATATATATATATATATATATATATATATATATATATATATATATATATATATATATATATATATATATATATATATATATACAATTATCGACTAAGTCATATTAATTTAATTCCACTAAAATATTCCACTGACCAATCACTTTCAGTTAAATCAATGAAACTATTATTTTCTGACATTAATTTACCTCTACTGCTGTTTTTAATTATCCAAGCTTTTATGTTATTTTTCGTATATCACTACTATCTATAATGCATTGCTTTTGTGATAACAATTAGTGACCAATTATTATTAAAGTAGCAGACATAGTAGCAGACAACACAACATAAGAAAATTTGAGTTTATGAGTATGTGCCCCTCGGCACCCCTCATATGTGCCCCTCGGCACACTTCTCTTCATATGGTGTCGGTCGGCACCCTTCTTTCCCCCGCCCGGCACACTCTTCTATGGTGTGCCCTCTGGTACACCTTGTGCCCTTCGGCACCGAATGTTTTCACGTGACTTCAATACAGAACCTCTAATAATTCTCTCTGATTACTGATCTCATTCTAAAATAATATATTTATACAGCAACGTCAATTTTCAATAAACAATAACTTTAAAGAGACGACAATTTTCCACAATTAACCATATATATTAATCACATACCCTCCATTAATCATATTAATCAAAGCTATTACACAACTTTACATAAAATTCCCACATAATATTAATCATATATCCAATTATAGAGTCAGAACCTCACCCTTACCTTGGATCAAAGGTTGCTCTATAATTTTTCGATCGAACTTCGCTTCGCCTCTTTTCCTCTTCTGTGTAACTTCTCACGTACAGCACTTTCTCTACTCTTTCTCTTAATCCTTTTTAATTAACCTAATTTTTATTATTTAACTTAAATTCAATAATATTATTATTTCTATTGAGCCTAATATTCACACAATCTTAATACTACGTCTATCACCAAAACAAGCCCAACAACTAATATTATTAATATTATATAATTTTAATATTATTACTAATATTATTAATCAATTAATTCAACCGACTAATAACAACACCGCAATTTATTTCAACAACTCACAACATAACACAACATGTCAACGATTTCAACAAATAATTCGCAATTAATCGAATATAATTAAATAATTAATTAAATAAACGGGTGTTACATTTGATATGGCCATAAGGGTTGTCTTTCATATAATAAAATTTGAATTTTTCTTTATTTCTGGTGGACTCCAGAGTTTATCTGACTGATTTTGCGCTTGCAACCCTATTTTCATTCTAGGTTTAACGCTTGTTATTTCCTAGGACTTCCGACTATGTCAATGGTCATCTATAAATGTGATAAACCATTTTTTGAGAGAGAATGTACTTGTACGATTAGACCCCAAACATGAATGTGAATAATAGAAAAAGGTTTTGATGATTTATAAGTGTATTGAAAATTAGAAACGATGATGTTTTGCAAACTCACATGCTTCACATTTAAACGAATAAAAGTTTTCATTATGAAAAAACTTAGGAAGCAAGTGTTTTTAGTAACGAAAATTAGAATGGCCTAATCCTAAATGTCATATCATAATAGTGTCATCTTTATTATTCAAATCAGAAAAAGACTCAAAGCAGAAACTTATTGTTTTTTTAAGGTAGTTGTGATGCATATCCAATGTCAAGGTAGTAGAGTCCTCCACTCTCCTTAGCACTGACAATTATCTTCCTCGAGTTCAAGTCCTGAAAGACGTAGTGAAATCGAAAAAAAATAATTTTACAATTTATATTTTAGGCTAATTTACTGACGGACATTAAATTACATGATAAATTTAGAACATGAATGGCAGTTTTAAGAGTTAACATTGGAGACAACACAACTGACCCTTTACCTGCAATGCTGAAAAATAGTCATCTGCAATTTTTATTTTTTGCTTATCTGCACATAAAATATATGAAGAGAACAAAGTAGGTTCACATGTCATGTAATCATAGACATCTGCATCTACTATCCAAATATGATTGAGACTGATACTAATAAATGCATAATTACCTTTTGTTGCTATAAAGCAATAAGGAGTTGGGGACTCGAGGAGTTTGTACAGTTTGTCTAGTTGTTCCGTAGTGAGTGAAAGTTGAGTCGAAGAGATTTATTGTCGTTGATCAGAATTACTAGCCTGAAATGCACGATCACCTTCCTTCTTCTAGTTAGGAGATTTCCCTTTGAGCTTCCAATAAATTTCACGTGTATACCATTCGCGCTTGCAGTAATCACACCAAAAAAACTTTGTATAACCTTTTTCCCTCGTCAAGGTTCCTAGTAGCCAAAGTTGAGTCTTTAGATTCAGAGTTTCATGGTGTTTTGCCTATCATAATACCATGTCGTGCCTCTTGCCTTCTTATTTCTGCAAAAGTTTCACAAAGAGTTGACAATGGTATTTTTTCTAAAACTCTACCTCTTACTTCATTAAGGTCTTTATTGAGTCCAGCAAGAAACATGAAGACACAGTCATTTTCTTGCCTTTTGAAAAACAGAAGACTATCTTGTACACCTCTAATTGTCATCATAACATAGATCCAACTTTTGCCACAGGGTCAACAACTCATTGTAATAAGCAGTAACATTTTTGTCCCTTTATTTCGCATGCCATAACTTTGATTTTAAACCAAAAAAATTGTGAGGAATTTTGAATATCAAAGTATGTTTCCTTAACAGTTTCTCATACATCCTTGGCAGAATGAAAAAACATGTAAGACTTACCTATTTCCATTTCTATAGAGCTTACCAACCACGCAACAATCAAGGAGTTTTCACATTTCCATTGTTTGTAAAAAATGTCTCCTCCTATCGGTCCAGCTACTGCTCGTGTTAAAAAATCAAGCTTATCTTTGATGTCCAATAGCAAGCGAACAATTTGGGGCCATTCCTTATAGTTATTCGCATTCATCTTAGGAATATTGACCTTGAAGGAGTATGAGGAACCCTCTTGGTCATTGTCGACTATATTGAAATAATTGTCATTGTTTGTGACCACTGATGATTCGTCTACTATGTCATTTCCACGACCACCGTCGTTTCCTCTAACGCCGCCATTACCGCGGCCATTGTTGTCACTGGCCACCGCCATCACTGCGACCACCGATATCTCCTCTGACGCCGTCATTTCCACGCCTGCCACTTGACTCAGGTTGTGGTTGTTCGCTATGTTGGATCTGGTGTAGGCATGTGCTTGAAAAGGCCACATGTTGTGATTCTCCATGGGGGGTTAAAAGCATATGTGAAGTGGGTAAGGTAAAAAAGTGGATCGAACAAAAAAAGAATGGTTAAAAACTGTTGTGATTTTATTGCTCAACTTTATGCTAGTTTATAGAGTGATAATACAATAATGATAATTAACTATCTCCTTAATAGAGAATAAAGGAAAATAAAAGAGAATTAACGAAAACAATAAAATATGAAGATAAAATATTTTCCAACAATTATCTCATTGTTGGAATGGAGAAGTCTTGAACTCCATAGGATATTAAATTTAATTAAAGCTTAAGGCTTGTTTGGACCTTAAAAAGGTCGTGAAGTATGCCAAGTCCAAACTTGTCTTAAATCTCAACCCTTCCATGGTTATTTCAAACCAATATTGGTTTATTGATTGTATGGATTTCATGTGGCATAAATTTTTAAGTCATGGATGTAGGGCAAAAACTCTAAAGAACCAGAATGTTTTGTTGTGTGGCTTTGTGATTATTGAGACGCCTATAAGGAGCAAGCTTCCACCAATAGGGATGGATATGGATTCTCCAATTCCAAATACTCTCCTACACCATCTCCATCCTCTCTATCTCTTAACTTCTCTTACTTTTCATCATCCCCTCTATCACTCTCTACTTTCTCTAACACTTTTGTATCTTTGTGCAAGAGAAGGGAGAGGATACAAACTCGGGGTAACATCGTTGATGTCATAGAATTTTGAGAAGACGATAGATTCACCTGACTGTACAATCTCTTAACCAATGTATGTTGATAGTAATGAGAGGGTTTAATCAATGTACAGATTAAAAAAAGATGGAAACAAAATTTAATCAAAATGATACCAAGATGATTACAGTAAGGGGGGAAAAAGACCTAGAAGAACTTTAGCTTCCGTCATCTTCTTGAAAGGATATCTGAGATAGAGAAATCATGAAAAGGTGGTCCTGTAACAAGAAAATAATCCAAAAGTAAGCAACACATTTTAACAAAGGGAAAAATAAGCAGCAAAGATCAGGTTTTTCTCGAGCACCAAACTCACTGGTACAAGTAAAACCACGTGCAGGAAATATAGGGCAAGAGCACGTGTCTGTGTGTGTGAAAGGGAGTCAAAAAATAATCTACTCCAATTGTATTCTCGGATAAGAGTGTGTGAAGAGATACATGGATAGCACAGAGGGAGGGGAGCAAAATATCATTCACCTTCTTGTTCACCTAGAATGTAAAATGGAATATGTGCAGTCATCTTTGTTGCACCTTCATTCCAGTTTATGCTGCCAATTTTCTGTGGGGTACCTGGTGAAGATCGTGAAGGCCCTAATATGGATGAACATATAGCCGGGTCTTTCATCAAACCCAAGAAATCACATGCACGGCTCCATACTCTCATATCAGAAATTCGAGACCGAGCAACCTGAAAAGCATGTCCTCAATTACAAATAACTGTGTTAATAACCTCTAATGCTTTGCTCTTTGAAACAAACAAAGATACCTTGCCCAAAGCTACACGTGCTCTTGGTAGTAATTCACGGTGATACGTAGCAAGCTTTGCAATGGCTGTCACAACAAAACACATAAGCCTGGACTGCGATGACCTTCTGTAGGTATCCTTATCAGAACTAAGGGATAACTCTTGCGCCATGCCCAGACGACTGCCAAGAAAACAAAGGATAATTCATCAAACAGTTACGCATTAAATCTCTCAACTGAAAGAAGCAAGGTTTATGCTACATCAAACCTTGAGGAAAGGTTTTCATACAGAAGTAGTTCTAAACTCTCAAAAAGTTCACGGGCTTCGTCTTTGTGAGATCCACCACCACCACCATGCTCTCCAATGGCCCAGCATAATTGCAATGCCAATTCTGTCTAATGAAAATTCAATGAATGTTCAATCCAAGATTGTTGCAGCACTCCCACATATAGTTAAAATAGTTCTTGACTAACCTTGTCTGGGCTGTCATAAGCTTCTCCAAGTCTGTCCATTATAGGTTTCTGCAACAAATTCATGAGATGTTAGATATTAAGTCATTCTCGAGCTTCTTGAGTTTAAAGGGGCTGGTTCTTGAAATGATGGGAGGGCTTATATAACTAGATGATCAAGATCCGATCCTTGTTCCCCCCCATTTTTATAAAGATTCAATTTCAGCAAAAGTTAGAGTATGCTTGTGCATTATCAATTCTTCAATCATTAATTAGCTTTTTCCTTACAACTTAAGCTCTCGAGAATTGGTTCTTGATATGAGCCATAGCCTAAAAGCTTAAGCTCTTAAAAGTTAGTTAGTCCTTGAAAAAAACATAGCTTTCAAAGACATAAAATGATCAAATGCTGTTTAAAAATGACGATGGGGCACTATTTAAAAAGAAAATAAAAAAAAATGGATACGGTTTTAAATCTCAGAAAGATACCTTTAAAAGGGCAATGAAGTTTGGGTAGCGCTGAAATGTTGAGAGTATAAACTCCAAAAGCCGCTTATGAACCTAAAAACACAAGAGAACTTAGATTACAAATGAAACAACTTACAAAAGTCAAAATTAAAAGTTTGAATTTATAACAAATCATGTTAGGCAACCTTACTGACAGAAGGCATTAACAATAGAAAATAAAAACAGTTGATCAATATTTGACGAATTTGCATTGACTTTCCATATGCACTAAGCACTCAAGCATAACATTCACAATTATGACAAGATATATTTGATACCTCATACGAGAATATTTTGTCTGCAAATATTGTCGCAAACCTTGACATAAGCAGGGGAAGCAGCGCACAGATCAAAGCTGAAAGTGTGTACAAGAACGGGGGAAAACGTCAAGAAAGACAGGTGATGAATACATCTCCACAACTAAATTTTCAAGAAAATTCACTAATGCCAAGTCAAAAAAGCATATGTAATAACAAAACTTACAATCATTCACGTCGCGCAATGCTATGGAAAAGTACACATCAAGAAGACGGGGTGTTAAGCGGAGTACAGCCTTTAACCTATCAGAGTAAGTATTATTGACTGCAGTCTGTAATATTGTGGTCATCAATGGTGATGACCAGGGTCGTTCCTGACATATAATAGAATTTACTTTGAATATCCCAAGTTGAGCTTGATATCCCAAAAAATAATGTTGAACTGTAATCGAGTTATAATTTCAAACATAATAAAAGCAACTCATAAATTTACCTTGAACTAGTTTGTAGTCCGCGTACAGTTTAGTAAATAAATATCTTATGTGTGTCTATATTAGATTTAAATATACTATGCATATATAATTGTAAAATTTTAAAACTTATTTTCTTGGCATTTATTGTATTTTTGAAAAGTAAAGAAAATGAAACTTCACAGAATATATTTTACATATGAACATGGTTATTAAGGATTTAATTTGAATTTAATATGTTAGGATAATCAACCATTTGAACTTGAACTTGGAAAATAAGAAATGCCATGTGGGTGATGATTGTACAAGAGTTTAGTAAGTGTTCCATGTGCATGTAAGAGGATTCTCATATTAGAGGCGGATATTAACCTCTAAGAGTGTTGAAACTAGAAAGTGTTATAATTTATTGGTGATAAACTGATAATGAACTTTTTTATCAATCCTTTTGTGCTAGTGACTATTGACATGGGGTAAACATGTTGGCTTATAAAATATGTGTAACTTGGATTTTAATCTTAAATGTGATAATATATACAATTTGAACTTGGAATGGTGAATAAACAAGATGAAAGGTAAAACATACAGTGATACCATCATTTTCATCCTTTAAGATCTCAAGAAACAACGGATCAGCCACATCAATTGCACTGCTATCCTCAGATTCAGAATCCCCTCCACCATCTTCTATAGTTGAACCAGTATATGCTTCATCCATAAGGGCAAGTAGCATCTAAGTTAAAAAAGAATTAAGTTCACTTATATTGTGCATAAATGCAACAGTGGCTACTGGCTAGACTTCAATCAAATTCATAGCATCAAAGATAACCTTAGGAGCCGTATTTTTTTGAATTGAAGCAATGCTGCTTCCAATTAGTGGTCCAGAGTTTTTTTCCACCTTCTCCAATGCCACTACCAAAACTAGCATAGATGGACAGGAAATGTTGAATTGATTAAGTTATTGTTAGAGAAGGTAAGACGAAAAGTATTATCAATTTATCATTATATTCTGAAATCCTAAAGCTTAAGGGTGTGTTTGTTTCATGGATAGAAAATATAGGGTTATTACCATTTTACCCCCTACCATATAGGTTATTTCTGATTTATCTCCCTGTAAATTTTTTTTTGTAAAACTAACTTTGTCACTTGAAGATTCTATCGTTTAAACCTTGTAAAAATTTTGTTTTTAAAACCAACCTTGCCACTTGAAGGATTCTGCCATTTTAAACCCTGTAAATTGTTTTTTTGGTAAAACCAACCTTGCCCAGTCCTGTTCCAGAGAGTTTAAAATGACAGAATCTTGAAGTTTATAGGGTTTAAACTGACAGAATCTTCAAGTGGCAAGATTGGTTTTAAAAACAAAAATTTTACAAGGTTTAAACGATAGAATCTTCAAGTGGCAAGGTTAGTTTTACAAAAGAAATTATTCTCCCATGTTTCTTTCAAGTTTTTTAAAATTGTTCCCAGGTACTTTTTATTCCAAGGAATTATTTTACACATGATTTTTCTCACATTTACTCTCATGTCTAAAAAGTGGGAATCCAACATTCCCATAGAAATAAAGTTAACTAACTACAACTTTCCACTAATATTCACATTAATATTTATTTTTATTTTTAAATTAAATTAAATATGTAAACATTCCCAAGAAATTTTATTTTTAGCCAAACACATGGATAGAAATATCATTCCTAGGAATATGAGGGAATATTATTTCATAATTTGAAACAAACACGCCCTAATACAAGTGGCATTCACGGTAATATTATTAGGGTCTGTTACTAACCATGCTATGAGACATATTTCATATATTTGAACATATTTTGATCATGAAATGGTACACAACAGAAATGGTCATAAAACTTTAACTTACTAGGCAAATCTAGTAAAGATGGAAACAATGAAATAAATGAACCAGGTGACATCAATCCCGGAAAGGCTTTTAAAATTTGTTTCTCTAATCTGCAAGAGTTGATAAAAAATATTCATTCAGGCAATACCCCTTGTGATCTATTAGGATTTAGGAACACTCTAACACTACAATTCAACATAATGCAAATCTTGTGAAATATCTATGTTTTGTTTCATTTCAGGCTCCTAATTTTGGTATACTCATGTTATGCAATAAAAAGGGAAAAACAGGTAAAATGTTGGTACGGGGAATTAGGAGCATATACAAACGTCAAATACTAATACATGATAAGTGAAAAATGGTTCAAGAAGTAAAAATATTCAGTAAGCTAGAAAAGCAAAATACTCTTCTTCATTTGAATGAAAGAATGAATAACATCATTAAGAAAAGAAAAAAAAGAAAGATGAATGCAATTAAATACAAAAAATAAAATATCTTCCTAAAAATGAAATACTATCAAAAGAGAAGAAAAAAAGCATGAATAATTATAAAGAACAATATCCAATCCCCAAACTCTGCCTTTTGTACTTCTACCAAAACCAACAAATTTAGTCCTCAAAATCTTGTCCAAGGTCCTGAGACACGCCTTACACTCTTAAAAAATGCCAAACAAAGACTTCCATAAAGAAATAGCTACAGAACTGTGCAATATCAAT